CCCACGATGCAGAAGCCGAAGCTGAGCACGAAGATGACGACGAGATAACCGCTCCCCCTCCTCCCACGACCTCTCAACAACATCACCAACATCAGCAGCAGCACCACCAGCAGCACCACCCGAACGCCTTCGACCTCGCAGCTGCGGGTATCCTGGCCAACGGCCCTCCCCCTCCCGACTCGGACATACATCCCGATCTTCACGGCCTACCGGCACAGTTCGCCATGGAAGCTCACATGGGCAGTCAAGGCGGTCATAGTGGCCCGGGAGATATTCCCCTGACCGCTGAAGACCTGGCAAAGCAGAGCGGCTACCATCAGCTGGTCATCGACAGTGCTCTAGCAAAACGTCTAGCCAACAACGAGGGACACCGCCTTGCGGTACAAAGACGTGGAGACCAAAACCTCAACTTAAAGAGGCGTAGCAATGTCGAGGCTCTGCTAGCTCATGTCTCTGGCCAGGAAACGGCCAGCCCCTGCAAGAGTTGTCATAAAGGTTACGGCCCGTGGAACGGCTGCGTTGTGGTGAATGGCCAGATGTGCGGCAGCTGTGCCAACTGCTGGTTTAATGCGAGCGGGTCAAGATGTTCCTTCCATGGTAAGTATACATGCATCGCTTCAAGAGAGCGAACGAGATGGTGAAGATACGGGGAGCTAACCGACATCAATGCAGAGAACAACCTCCCTCAGCACATGCCAGCGGTCCAGATGCCGCCTCAGGTGTCTGCAAACACAAGCTTCGCCGGCGCAGCGCCGATGGCTCCCGGCATGGTCCCCGCAGGCCCTAGCGGCTTCGGGCAGCCAGGCGGCAACCACACAGTGGCCCAGTTCACAAGAGATGCACTCAACAGAGCGATGGCGGAGGTCCGAAGTGACGATCCAAACATTCGGTTCCAATTCCGCATCGAAACGGCGGCGCGGGAGCTAGCGCTGGCTAGCGCCGAGTACGCCGATTTTCTGGCTCAGCAGGCGGGCCACGACCCGAGTCAGCACCCTCAAGACGGCGAGGGCTCCGTGCCGGAGGCGGCGATGGGAGACGGGAACGACGGACCGTGAGAGTCGGCTCACGATTCACTCTCAATCGACCCTTCTTTGCGTCTTCCACACTGGCCCGAAAAGCGGCCGATGATTATGTCCACGGCCTGAGCAACATCACCGTGACGGATTACCAATCCGCATCAGTCCTCCGATGCAGTCGGGCCAAATGTTGTTCTTTCCCTGTCACGATGCCGTGGATGACAAAGCTTCTCTATCATCATCGTACCACTTTGCATTTGAGAACACGCGGGCACGGGCGCCCGACTTACTCGCTCTCCCTCCCAATATACACTTGGCACCTGCGTGGTAGTAGGGCGGCACCGTCTATGCGAACACATGGAGAACGGAAATCAACAGACCAATGCGAAAACGACCCAATGACGACAGAGGGACACACACACATACAGACATGGGGAGCTTGGGATTTCCCTGCAGCACCAGGCAGGCATACGGTCATCAGAGAATAACAGCAAAGCATAAGGCAATGGGAAGCATTAGTTTTTGTTTTTTTGGGATTGGTTCACCTCGTACAATCATCACGCACACATACACTTTTACGCGTGAACAGGAGCTGAGTTGACAGCTAGCTACCTTGGGCGAGGCTAATGGGCGTGCATACTGAACACACACATATAGATTGATACCACGGTTCTTTCATACATCAAGCATGCATTCGTCGTGTACCACTGCAGCGCAGCATGCCGTGAACCAGGGCTCCCCGTACTGGGGCCGGTCAGCTGGCAGCTTGTCTCTGTGACCTCAACCTCTTGGCTTACTGCATCTCTCACACCGGGTTTTCGTTCCTCAAACTAGGCTACAGTGATCACGCATCACAACCAGGGTTCAGGACTCCCTGGCCGTGTCTTTACTCCATGCTCCGCCTCGCATCGCGCCTCAGCTGAGTCCCAGACGGGCACTAACACGGCGGAGCAGACCCGACACGGGAAAGGTCAAGGCTTTTTTCGTTGCCTGTAATATTCCGGTCAGCTATATCCAACGTATGCCCAGCGGTGCGATCCTGGACTGTCGCTCACCTAACCCGCCCCAGAATCGTCCGACGTCCGACGTCGTAGGAAGGGGGAAAGGCCACCAGCGGCCTGCGTCACTCGATATAACGCGCCTCACGGTGGCGAGCCATATTGGGGCGCATTCCCCCTCCCTTGGAGCCCAAGCACATGCGTGTTAACGGCCAGATCCCATGTGAGAGTCAATGGCACCATCCAACCAGCATCCCTTCTGTTCAGGTAACTCGGCGATAACATGAAAGTAAATCGGTGATAGTGGTGAGAAGTCAGTGTCTTCGGATTCGGCTCGATCCTAGCGAAGAACACGTAGAAAACCCTTTTGCTTAGCTTCACACCCACAACCGCTTGCTCAGGACGGGTTTGCTACGGGTATAACGGCGAGCAGGAAAAACCAAACCACAAGGCGATCTACCACCAAGCGCGACCAACAAAAGTCTATACCATTCGTCCCATGTGACATTTCGACGTGAGGAGGGGGGGTCAAAGGGGATCTGAGAGCAGAAAACCACCCACATCAGCCCAAAAGGAACTCTGGATCTTCGCCTCCGCCAACACGCGGCAGGTCCCCGATGGTTGTGCCCCCAACCCCAGCTTCTCGTCGACACCTTAATGCCGAAGGAAAGCTGTCGGCGATGATGAGATAATACCGGGCAAAATTCCCATCACCTGCCTCTCTCTGCCTTGCCTTCTCAACCTCACCGTGGTATGGTAATCACTATGAAACAGCAGAGTGTAACCCCACAGTCCCCCCCTCTCCCCTCATAACTCTATCTTACCTCACTGCTGCTCTCTGTTCGGCTGTCTTCTCCGGAAGGGGGCTCTCACAGACTCTTCAGCCCAGGGGCGGAATGAACGGGGTCCAGATCTCTCACCGTAGTTGCGCGTTCCAAAAATTCTCCGACCTGCTGGTTCCAGGGGGTGGTTGGGTTGGCAAACAAGGTCGCAGCAACCAAGAGGACGACGAAAAAAACCAAGGTCCCACGCAAGGGAACGAAATGAAAGGGGTCACCAAACATGCAACGCAACCAAAGAGAATCCTCCCCAGAAAAAGACATCAATCAATATCCAACATCCAAATATCACTGAAGATACTTGGACTTGTAACCTAGCGGCGAACAACAAATCCTGCGACATGTTTGAGAAAAATTTCGTCCAACAAACGGAGGGAGAGAGGGACAGAATGAGAAGGGATCAAAGCCAGCCCCCGGTCCGTACACCATTATCCAACATTCAATTAAGGTAAAAGACCCAATATCAGACGGTACAGTCTTATATGTGGTTGGGCGAAAACCGGACCCCTACCAATAACAGACGTGTTGTAGCAACAGCTCCTGCAGCTGCTCCGCGCGCTAGAGATTCAGAAGAGCTGCAGGAGTGAGCCTCTCTTACAAGAAACCGTCAAGTTGAGAGAGGGCCCATGTCGACGATGGTGTGTGTGTCTTCAACCGCATCAGGACGACGAACTCACAGAATTGTCGCAAGTATCAAAACTTGCTGCGCCACTCCGTCATACGTAGAGCAAGATATGTGCCCGCCGATCGTCGGCCGATGCAGCTGTCCCAAGCTGCCGCCGCCGCTTGGCGACGTGTGGAAGAGAGTTTTTGCTCTTCATCCAACTGCATGTCCAACGTCAAAATGATAATGTGAAAAGACGTCCGTGTCGAACTGTAGGAAGCTTAACCATTGGATGTGGAGCTCCATCCTCGGCCACACACACACACATACATATGCACGCACACCATCATTACCTCACCCTCACTCCCCTTCCCAAGCTTAAATCCTAACTTCAGACCAAAAAACCGCGGGCGCGGACTTGTGAGTGTGTGCGTGTGGCGGGGGCGAGGGGATCTCCGGGAGGGAGTTACGAAGCAGGTCCCTCTGGGACTGAGCAGGACCCTTGAAGAAGGGGAGAGAAGGCAGAGGACACAGTATCGACGAGTCGAAAGGCTAAATCCCTTTGGCATTACGTTACGCTAGGGAAGGTAGGTCGTTTTCTCTCGGGACTAGCCTTGCGTAGGTCTACGTCGTCCACCCCAAGAGACGGAAGCGGCGGTTGCGGTCTTGATGCCGCGAACGGCGAAATTGGGGACGGAAAACGCCGCGCCGGAGGTCTGCTATAGCGTCGGGTCTGGACTGGGCTACCTACAGCAACTAAAATTTCTCGACTACCTTCAAACCCCAGTGGGTGGATTGAGGGCGATCATGGGTAAATCTGCGGATCAGGGCCGCACCGAGACGGAACCTTCGTGTAGTGCATACTGTAGACTTGGTGATGCTACGATACCCAGTGTCGCTGCCTGCACAGATGCTGGTTGAAATGAGACTACAGACTGGAAAGGCGCACAGTGAAAATACAGGTCGCTGGGCGGCAAAAGCATAGGTTCAAGGAGTCTCTCGACCTGCGCGCAACGTGAGGAATAAGGAGACTTTCGTAATTAAACAGAATATTTAACCGCCTTCCGTCCATCGGACTCTCTCTCTCAAATGCATTCAAGTTCATTGCTTCTTTTCCTCTTGCTATCCATCCGTCCGGGGCTTCCACATCTCGTCCTCCGTCTCTCACTCGCCGCCATCCGTCAATGGTCGGGTTTCCTCGTCCCGCCGCGGTTCCGTCTACTGCTGTCCGAACATCATGTTTGATACAGAGCTACCTTCCCAAGTTTCCCCCTATTCCTGAACGCGGACCAACGAGGCAGAACCAAAAAAGTGTACCGCCTAGTCTGTGAGGCAATATACCGGGGGGATAGCCGAGGTGTAGGAAGAAAAAAATACAGTCGCGTAAGCAAGGGAATCTGGGGAAACCGTAGCAGGGTCGCCGTTTCGTCGTCGTCGGGAGGAGAGTAAATTTCATGAGCCAGCCTCCACGACACTTACTGGCTTTGGTCATGCAATTAGAAGTAAAGGGTATTGTTGAAAAAAAGCAAACGTTTTTGAGTTTTTAAATCAGACCGCACAACCGCAGGTTCTCCTGAATAATGATGTCTGTTTGTCGCGCGTTAGTCTCATTTCTTTGTGGGCTTTGTACCAGCTCTGTGGTTCCAGTCGGAGCTAAACTCACCATTCACTGCCGCCATGACAAAGCGGATCTGGGTTGTGTCTGTCGCGCAGGTGAAGTGCGTGTAGATTTGCTTGGTCTCATGCTGGTTCAGGCTGACGAATCGGTTGAGAATGTAGTCGCATGCCGCGGCGTAGTCATCACCACCCTCATAGTCGGGGAAATAGTTCTTCATCGGGCTGACGGGCAACTTCTCCTTGAAACGGTCGATCTTGTTGAGGAACAGAATGATGGATGTCTTAATGAACCATCTTGAGTTGCAGATGGAGTCGAAAAGCGTCAGGGCTTCCTGCATACGGTTGACAGTCTCGTCCTCGAACAGGAGCTGGTCGTACTCGGAAATGGCGACGAGGAAGAGGATTGTGGTGACGTTCTCGAAGCAGTGGATCCACTTCTTTCGCTCTGATCGCTGGCCACCGACATCGAACATTCGGTACGTCAGGTCGCCGATGATGAATGTGGTTTCTGTGATACCCGTCGTCTTGACACGCGATCGCAGGACGTCCTGGTCGTTGGGCATGTAGTCGGGGGCGGCGATACGAGCGATGTTGTCGAAGTAGCTGGGTTTGTCAGCAAGCGATGCTCAGCGCCTAGGACTGGAAAAACTCACTATCTCGCGGAATCGTTAAGCTGGTATTCGCGAGAGCGCTTGAAACACTCCTGAACACCGCGGTCCTTCCACAGAGCCTCGATGGCACTTCCAACTTCAGGGGGCAGAACGTCGCCTTCAATCTGAGCGGGTTGCATGAAGATGGTCTGGACGTGGTACTCCATGCGTTGGTCCTCGAGGGGCAGCTCAAGCGATTCCATAGCCTCGAGAATGACGCGCATCGATTGCACCGTGTTGCTGAAGATGATTTCCTTGAAGGATTCCCGCTCGTCACGCGAGTAGCCGCCCTCGTGGATGAGCTTCATCTGCTTCAGGATCGTCGACTTTCCGGATTCACCAGCACCTATTGGGTTGTTAGAGTGAGCCGATCGGGGTGCGATTGAATGCCATCGCATCGGAAGACGATACGGCATTCAACGGGTGGGAAGGAGGGTTTGACGTACCCAGAAGAAGCATCTTGATCTCGTTGCGCTGCATCATCTTGTCCCGCTTCAGTTGGTTCTCGATCTCCTCGTTGCGGGCCTTGCCCTCCTTGTCCTCCGTGCTCATTCCACAACCCATCTTGGCGGTCTGGTGTCGTTGCCGACGGCGGATAGAAAAGAATTGATGGGATTAAAGTGATTGAGGATCCTGGGCCGAATCGTGATGATGCGTCGTTGAGCCTGGAAGAGATAACAGTGGATTAGCCAACCATGTCGCGGGGAGCCGCGGTGCCGGCAATGGGCGATGGAGAGAAAGAGAGTGACAGGTGGGCGAATTGTTTGGGACGGACGGGGCTGGAATGCGAAACGGGCCAGTCGGCGTGCGATGCGGTGCGGTGTATCGGGTGGTCGAGATATCGAGGGAGGTGCTGGCAATGTATTGCAGCGGTGTCGAAGGGGCGGGCGAGGCGAGGGTGACGGCTTTCTCTCGTCTCGTTCTGTCTCTCATTGATGTCTCTGCCGTGTCGCCTTCCTAATCCAATGGTTTTGTGTTGTGTTTGGCGGCGAGCGGCAGCAATTGCAGTTCGAGGGGGTTGTGGGTGTGCGTCGGTCTTTCTCTCCTCGCTCTCACTCTCTCTCGCGCCCTGGGGCCTTCGCTTTTGCGATTCGCTCCTTGGAGGGCAAGAGATGTAGTATGAAAGCAGTGTGAACTCACCTCTCGATTTGATGATTGAGAGTAGAATCAATCAATTGACGACGGCTCGAGAAACGCAGCAAACAGGAAAAGAAAAACACTAGCCGTTGGGCGGACGGTGGGAGGATGGGATGGTCGCGGCAGGATTGAAAGACCAGGAGCAGGAGAGACGGGAGAGAGAAAAGAGAGGAATGGGTTGGGAGGTGCCTCTAATGTGGAGAGGAGAGATGGGAAAGGGTAAGGGTGGGTAGAATATGGGCAGGGGTGGCAGCGATGGTGCAGGAGCGGGTGCAGGTGGGCAGGTAGGTAGGGAAGGGAAGGGAAGCGCAGGTGCGAGTTGCAAGTGGGAAAGCAGGCGCGCAAGCAACAGTGGGCGACTTGGGTAAGGTAGGTGGACTGAATGCCCGACTGGCAGCTGCAAAGTGCCCCGGCAGCATGTACCGCGAGTAAAGTAACTAAGGTAGCAGCCCGCAGCAAGAAGCATCAATTCGCCAGCAGCAACCTCCTACTACCTCCCTAGGTAGGTAGCTTAGGTAGGTAGGTAACAGAGGTAGTAGGAGCAGCAGCTAGAAGTCGGCGAGGAACACTGGGACGACGAGTGGGTGGGCAGTTGTCTCCGGGGCGGACAATGCGGTTCGTGACGAGGTACAAAGAGCACGTATACAGTGCGCGCATCAAGTGAAGGGCACGGAGGCGACGAATGACAGGCGATGATGGGCGGCGGGCAGGGCCGTGGGCAGCCAGACAGTGGGCAGAGAAATCCAGAGTGGGTGCATATGCGTACGGATACGCAGTAGGTATTCGTAATGTGCCGTCCACTGTAAGGTTGGAGAGGCAAAATGGTTGGCCGGTGATTTGGCGAAGGGGCCAATCCTTGGGATAACTGGAAAGTGGTGCCAGCACTTCTTCCAGGAGGAAGTGAAGTGCCCTGGTGAAAGCAGCCGGCAGCACAAGTAAGGCTAGGGGCTTTTGGGGGCCATCGCCGGGCATCCTCGACGCTTCAGAGGTTCGGTGGGGGCGGTGTCATCCACTGTCGCCGGGACTCAGAGGGAGCCGGGCAGAGGGGCCTGAGATGAGGTCTGAGGTGTGAGGTCGCCGCCGTCCGTCTGAGGTGACAGGCAGGTTGAAAGAAAAAGGGGGTAAGAATTGGTCGGGTGCACGGTGTGGAGGCTTGCTGCGAAATATCCACAGCTGCCAGGTACGTACTCCATTGAGATGCGTCGTGCAGGGGCCAGCAGGGGGCATTCCAGAAGCCAAGGTCGAGAGCTGCGGTACGTATCCACCGGTACCTGCCTCCAAGTGCATTTAGCCCGGTTCCTGACCTGGGCCCCCCTGTCGGCTGTGTGTGTCTCTTTTTTTCTTTCGCAGAAGTTGGTGGCCAAACATTTGCCAGACCACTTATTACAGTGTCACCTTGTTCATCATCGCGGCGACAATGATAAGCCGAGGCAAGCATGTACAATATATACACATAAAATGTCCTTGAGAATTCAACTGACAGATTGAAAGGTCGAAGGTCTTTGAAGGCTTACTCCCGACATTGTCAGAAACCGAGTATGGACTTGCTGAGAAAGAAAACTACGAGCTCCGAACCCTCATACCCGACATGACCAAAAGGTTCCATCCATTCCCTCAGAGACAGACCACCGGCGGGTCCACCAGCCAGCCCTTTGCAACGTTGAAATCACCGCACCGAGCGGCAAGCCAATGGCCACAGCCTGTGGGGAGTCGCGCCGTGCCATGCCTTGTCCCATTGCCCGCAGGTTGGAACTCGCAGCAACGCCAACCACGCATGCGCAACTCTACTGTGCAGTTCCTGAAGTACCTGAAGAGAGATGGAAAATACAACCCGACACCAAGGAAACAGGGACTCCTATGTCTGCAGCCGCGTCTGGTTGGCTTAACTGGCCCGAAGCCTCCTTGCTCGCCGCCCTGACTAATGTAAGAAAAACTCCTCGCGCTACGGGCGACCACAGACCATTGGGACCAGGCTCGGAGATGGGATTTTCTTTGGCGGGCGAGGCAAACAGGGCGGGCCCTGTGCATCTCTTGCCTTAGCCGGGTGGTAATCCGTCACTATTGCCTCTGCTCTGTCGCTCTCTATTAATCTTCCTGGCGGGATATGCTCATTCCCTTGCCTTCCGAACGCGCGAGAAGCACGAGCCGCTGCCAATACGAACCAGTCAATATGTGTTAATCCACCTCTTCATTGCTTCTGGACCACCTCGGAACGCAATTCCAAGAGACATGCTGTCGCCTCTTTGCCTCGGATGGTTGTACTTGCGCGAGACATCGCATCATGGGCAACCTGCTCCAAGACCAACACCTGACCCCTTGCCTCAATTGAAGAAAGGTGCCTTGCCTTGGGTGCTTCCCACCAAGAGTCACCAAGAGTCAAGCAAGCAGTCAATCGGTCGCGGCAGCTGGAATGGGACACCACCGCACGCAACCCTCCAGCCCTTTCACCAGCCATCTAACTGAAGGCATGGAGGATCACCCTCCTTCCTTCTTCTGTGACTACCTGCAGCACCTCTGCTCCTGCCAGTGCCAGACCAGACGAAGCAGAGATCCACCTGCAGGGAACGCCAGGGAGATCGATGGCAGATGGAACATTGGAAAACTGCAATTGGAACATAACCTCCTTCCATCAGGGCTTCCATTGCGATTCTTGAAACACCGTCATCCGCGGCCTCCTTGCTGCTGCTCTTGACGGCAATGATTCCAGCATCGCGACGGTGCCTGGTATGCCCTGCTCGAGGCGTATCACCGGACTTGCACAAAGCACAACCAACCATACAACAATTCAGCAGGCTGCAGCGCATCAAGACGTCGCCAATCTCATCAATACCGTGTGCCTACTTAGGAAAACGCATCGCAAGGTGGTCTAGCCGCCGTCAAGCAAACAATAGAAGCAAACAACTTATTCAACCCAACCCCAAAGCTCTCGGCCACAGCTTGATTCGCCAATACTCTGCACGTCTCCAAGCTAGGAAATCGAGCACAGCCAGGTCCCGCTTGCCTACCTCACTGTACGGTACTCAAAGCAACCACTGGGCACTGGCGGACGGAGACACAAAGGAACAGCATCCTAACCAAGCTCTTGCAAGTTGCATCTCCAATAGGGGTCGATCGGGATCATGTATGTCTGAGCTTGGCACCTGTCGCCTTGCATTTCCTTTCTTCTTTCAAGGCGCGAACCAACTGCAGACAAGCCGGCCAGCCAGCCGCCGTCCGGCCCATCGCCCATCCCTTTTTTTAGGGCCAAAATACCACAGACGCGGCGAACCCATCACCATTCCTGATCAAGCCGCATGTCTCTGCTACTGTCGACTACTGCGCGGTACCTTCAAGATCCGTACTCTTCTGCCCTTGCGGCGAGGCCAGTTCAGGGCCAGAAACCCCCCCATCGTCATTCCCATCACCATCTCCGACTCCACCGCCATATGGTCAAATGTCAGTGAGCCCACGCTTCTACCTGGTCCTCTCCGCCTAAACATCTCCCTGCATCCGCTTACGATGCTGGGCTGCCCAGTTCCCAACGGACGGCCGCCGTGCTTCGTACACGGTGCAGCTGACCAGCCTCCCGCCTTGACGCGCCATCGTCTCCGGGTACAAGGTACGACGACATCACTTGCCTTCTCGCAGTTTAATAAACACCAGCCCAGATCCCGAGATGAGATTGACGATGGCACACGGCACATGGAATCATGGATATTCTGCCGATTTCCATCTCCTGCCTGCTGATCTTCCCTTTTCCGTACAATTACTGCGTCTAGGCGTCGGACTCCCCCATCACTGAGGTTGAGCTTGTTACGACACTCTGTGACTCCTTCCGAGTTCAAAGCCTCAGCCTCCCACTCAATAGTCTTGGGTTTTCATCGTCTTAGATTCTTCCGTGTTAGCCATCTCGCGGCGCATGATCTGCATTCCCAAGAAGCAAACGCAGATTGCATCGATGACTACTTGCGTCTAGCCACAAGCGCGTCCAATCGGGAGCAGTGGCGCTTCACTGGCTCAGCTTTGGCTCCAACCAAATCTCTGGGGTTGTGCTGGCTGGCCTGGCTAAAACATGAAGCTGTCTCTGTTCAGAGAGGTCGTGCCGCAGGCTGGCGAGCGGTTTCCACGCTGCAGCTTTGCTTTTTTCTTTAGGGAAACAATCTGGAAGCTGAACGTTTTCTGCCAAGCTTTGGTATGCGGCCAACCGTCACATTCCACAATCCCGTTCTCTCGACGGGAGCCTGCCCAACCTCCGAGCCACGCCAAAATGTTTGCTTTTATGAAGTTCGTCGTCTGTTTGCTTCTATCCTCAACCGCCAGCGGCTACTGCATCCTGCCGCCGAGGTGATCCATCATCCCTCTGGGCCTTGCGCTTCGAGTCTTGCTGCTGCAGGTCTTAATTCGGGTCACAGCTGAATCGCACTGTCCAAGTTCCCTCCAGACTCGTG